TGGGCTCCAGGCCCCGGTAAAATCTGCGTGTCCCTGCGTCTGCGCGGCAGCCGCTAGACCAGCTGTGCGCCTTGGGCGAGTCACTGGGAAAGGGGGCACCACCCCAGACCTGCCCAGGGGCCGCGGGTGCTCCCGGAGCGGGCCCTGTGTCTCCTGCTAAGGCTCCAGGCTAGCAGAAAGTCAAGGCCCCTCCCTGGCGGGGCCCTGGGGCTCGGCCTCCCTCACACCCCACTCACCCAGAGGCGGGTACTGGGAGAAGCTCTCCACACACATGGGCTTCCCTGGGACCATCTCCACGATGGCTGCGTCGCCCGACTTCAGGGACTTGGGGTTGTCCTCCAGCTTCTTGCCGGAGCGCCGGTCTATCTTCTCCTTCAGCTCCGCGAACTTGCAGGCAATGTGGGCCGTATGGCAGTCAATGACCGGGGAGTAGCCGGCGCTGATCTGCCCAGGGTGGTTCAGAATGATGACCTGCGGGCAGAGTGGCATGACACCATCAGTGACAGGTGGGCATCAAGGCAGGGAGACGCCCACCTCCCAGGTCCCTGGGGCCCGGGGTGCTGACAGTGGAAAAAGGTCCAGTGATGGGACAGACCTGGATCCCGAGGTCGGCACTAAGCATTGAAATAAACGGAGATAAACCAACCACGAGAGGTAAACAACAGACAGGTGCACTGTTTGAAAGCGCGAGTGGGCGCTTGTATATCAACCCTGGCCAGAACTACGGCGGGGATGATGAAACGGCCTCAGTTACCTGGATCCCGAGGTCGGCACTAAGCATTGAAATAAACGGAGATAAACCAACCACGAGAGGTAAACAACAGACAGGTGCACTGTTTGAAAGCGCGAGTGGGCGCTTGTATATCAACCCTGGCCAGAACTACGGCGGGGATGATGAAACTGGGCCTCAGTTTTTATATTTCAATTACATGTCAATAAGGCCGATTTTTGTCATGGGAGGAAGTGACCAAAGAGGGTGCAGTGAACGTGTAGAGAATAAAAGCACCACAGAGACGTCTCTGGCAATAAAGTGATAAAAGCACTTTCAGGACCCACGTGGGACCTCAGTGAAGCCCCAAGCGACAGGCCTGGGCTCCCCACAAGTGCACCCTTCCTAGGAGCCCTCAACCCTGTGCCAACCTCTCCAGGCCTGGAGGTCGTGTGTGCAAAGCAAGGGTCTGAGTTCTCCCAATGCCAGGCCAGGGGGTGCCCAGTGCTCGGCCGCTGTGGGCAGCCACTTACTTCACCGAGGATGGCCCCTGACCACCTGCGGGAATGGGCCACCCACCTGGGAGGTGAACTGGGCGGCCTCCTGGGGAGGGTCGGACTTGCTGTCCCCACACACGTTGCCCCGGCGGATGTCCTTGACAGACACGTTCTTCACGTTGAAGCCAACGTTGTCGCCAGGCAGGGCCTCGCTCAGAGCCTCGTGGTGCATCTCCACCGACTTCACCTCCGTGGTGATGTTCACAGGCGCAAAGGTCACCACCATGCCAGGTCGAAGGATGCCCGTCTCCACTCGGCCCACAGGCACAGTGCCAATGCCTGGGCCCAGAGGAAGGGAGCTGTGAGGGGCAGGCGGGCCCAAGGGGTGCCCCTGGTCCTCCCTGGCAAGCATGGGGCCTGGCCACATGGAGGGAGTGCGGGGGCAGGGAGACCCCAGACGAAGCAGACACACAGAGGTGGAGGCTCCCCTGACCTCACAGGAAAGGGACTGAACAAGAGTTCCCAGAACCTCTCAGGAGGGGGACGGGGCAAGGAGAGGCCATCTGGGCTGAGGGCCCCTTCCCTGCCCCCAGGTGAGGCACTGGGCCCCTCGCCTCTGAGGCTCCTCCTCGTGAGGGGGGAGCACCACCCACCGGAATGACCGGCCCAGCTTCAAAGCCCTGGCCCGGGGCTGTCCCTCAAGGGACATTGGTGCCACCCTTCTCATGGGCCCGCTCACACCTGTGTGGCTTCCCGCTGGGAGTCTGGTCTCTCCACGGCCCAGGGGAGGATCCACCCCATCTCCCTGGCTGTGATGGAGGCTCGTGTGACATCACAGTGTGACAGACACGGGCTGGTGGCTGCGCTTATACTGGGTGAGCATGTCCCTGCCCCTGCACACAGGCCCGACACCTCCAGCCACAGACCCTCATGGGTCTCACACTTGGTTATGTCTCTGTGTCAACTCCTGAACAGCATTTCTCACTCCTGGGCAAGGAGGATATGACAGCCCAGGTCAACAGCAGTGAGGGGTCCCCACTCACCAGCAGGCCAGGCAGGGGAAGGTGGAGGTGGGGGTCCTGTGGGCCTCCCCAGGAGGGCAGAGGGCGCAGTCAGTCCACCCCACCCCACCCCCGCCACTACATGAGGTCCCATGAGGAAATGTGCAATCGCAACGTGCAAACATGCAGCCCAGCAAGACAAACGGCCCTCCAGCTGCACTCAGGCCACAGGGCTGGCACCCCTGTGCCATCGGCTCTTGGCATTGGACCAAGCACTTATCTGGAGGGAGGAAGACCTGGCAAACACTGGGCAGACCGATGGATGGGTGGGGGTGGGCAGCTGGATAGAGGGATAGAGGGATGGGTGAATAGATGGATAGGGTTTTGGGGTGGGTAGGTGAACAGATAGATAGAGGATGGATGAATGGTTGAATGAATATATGGGGGATGGATAGATGAATGGGTAACCCAGAAAGTGTGCAGTGTGGGGGGAGAGGCAGAAAGACCCTGACATCGGGAGCTCGTCTCAGGAGAGAGGTCTGAGGGGCAGAGCTGACCGAAGTGGGCTGGGCGCCTATAAGAGAGCCCTGTACCCTCACTCACCACCAATCTTGTACACGTCCTGCAGGGGCAGGCGCAGGGGCTTGTCCGTGGGGCGTGTGGGGGGCAGGATGGTGTCCAGGGCCTCCAGCAGGGACACGCCACTGGCGTTCCCTTCCTTACGCTCCACTTTCCAGCCCTTGAACCACGGCATCTGGGCAGGAAGCAGGCACGCATCGCATCGTAGAGCCCCCCCCCCCCCCCCCCCCCAGTCCCAATGGGGGAATCCTAGTGCGGGCACCAACCTGAGGGGGCTGGGGGGCAGGGGAGCTAAGCTCCACCCTCCACTGTCTAAGGCCCATTGAGATGCTAAACAACTGACCCCTCCCAGCTCACTCCGAACACCACAGAGACACTGGGCAGAGAGATAAAAGGACGCAGAGCCTCCACCTCGGCCCGACCACACACAGGGTTACTGGCCGAACCAGAGGCACAGAGTCCAGCCTCCGCCCCAGAGACCACGGTGCCCTCCATCTCTAGGCACGGCCAACAGAGCATTACCCAGGCTTCTCCTGACAGCAGACCCAGCCCCGTCCTATCACCGAGCCCCCTGCCCACCAGCCCCAGAGGAAGACAAGGCCTGCAGCACCATGCCCAGGTCCATCCCCAGGGACCCTGTCCTCCAGACACCCCAGCTCAACAGCAGTGAGAGGTCCCCAGTTGCCAGCAGGCCAGGCAGGGGAAAGTGGAGGTGAGGGCCCTGTGGGCCTCTCCAGAAGGGCAGAGGGTGCAGTCAGCACACCCAGCACTACATGAGGTCCCACAAGGAAACGTGCAATTGCAACGTGCAAACACGCTGCCCAGCAAGATGGGCAGCCCTCCGGCTGCACCCAGGCCACAGGGCTCCGGGGCTGGCTCTCCTACGGGTGTCCTCCATGCCCACCACTCTCCGTGTGGGTGGCTGCAGTGCTGGCCAGAGTGAGTGGCCACCCTTCTGGGCCAGGGTGTCCTTGGCTTGACAGTGCCAAGGCACTAGGTCTCGGGTTCAACAAATTCAAAACACCCAGCTCCACTCATCACCTCCTGCCCAGTCAGAGTTCCGGGGACAGTGGCTGCCCAAGTGGCCAGCAGAGAGCCAGCCCTCAGCCCTTCCCAGAGCCCAGCTAGCTCCAGGTTCCAAGGGGTGCCCGGAGGCTATGAAAACTAACCCAGCACAGCAGCTCCTGGAGACGGCCCATGGGCCCAGCAGCTGCCGTCTCTATAGTGTTGACCTGAGGGGACTGTCCTAGCCAGAGAAGGGGCTGCAGAAGCCTCTGCCAGCCTCGTGTGGTCCCCGAGGACACCCACAGGGGCTGGCTCAGGCACTGATACAGATTAAAGAAGACCAGTAGGGTGCAGGGAGTCTGGGGACAGCCCTCCGACCCAGCGCCCCACCCTGACCCTGCCTGACCTTTGATCCAGTGCTCTGGGCCCTGGGGAAGAGGTCTGAGCAGCCCTACCACCTCCCGCCAGGCACTCACATTGGGGGAGGGCTCCAGCATGTTGTCGCCGTGCCAGCCGGAGATGGGCACGAAGGGCACGGTGGCCGGGTTGTAGCCAATCTTCTTGATGTAGGCGCTGACCTCCTTGACGATCTCGTCGTAGCGCTTCTCGCTGTAGGCAGGCTCCGTGGAGTCCATCTTGTTGACCCCCACAATGAGCTGCTTCACGCCCAGCGTGTAGGCCAGCAGCGCGTGCTCCCGGGTCTGCCCGTTCTTAGAGATGCCCGCCTCGAACTCACCCACTCCTGCCGCCACGATCAACACAGCGCAGTCCGCCTGCCCGGCAGGTACAGCACCGTGAGCCCCAGACCTCACCTAGTGTCCAGGCCCCTCCGGGCAGCAGACAGGGGCCTGGACAGTCCCTGGGATGGGACCTGGGAATCTCGACCTGAGGGGCAGTGGCAGGGGCTCATCTGTCTGTCTGTCGGTATGAATGCCCTGGCAAGGTCAGGGACTGTCCGAGTCTGTCTGTGGCACAGGTGGCCCGGACACTGGCTGACTGTCCGTACAGGCACTCTGCCTGGTTGAGATACTGAGGCGCTTAATCAGTTGTTTTCGCAACTCTGTACCAGGTGGGGCAAGAGGGGCAAAAGTGGGTCTTGTGCCCTGATGAGGAAGCAGAGGAGACCCGACTACCCTTCGATGACTCGAGCCCGCACCCAGGTGCCCTCTGAATGGGAGCCCTTGCCCCCCCTCCCGGGCCCCTGTGGCCCCACAGTCTGCCCACCTGGGATGTGCCAGTGATCATGTTCTTGATGAAGTCTCGGTGGCCTGGGGCGTCAATGATGGTGATGTAGTACTTGGTGGTCTCGAACTTCCAGAGGGAGATGTCAATGGTGATGCCGCGCTCCCGCTCCGCCTTCAGCTTGTCCAGCACCCAGGCATACTTAAAGGAGCCCTTCCCCATCTGGAGGGGTGGGGGTGGCTCAGGGCGAGCCCGAGACCCAGGCCCAGACCCGCCTGGCCAGCAGACCCGGGGCCATGGGAACAGCACGTCATAGCAGAGAGGCCCCAGCCCCCGTGGCTCCCCACTGGGAACCTGGAACTCTCTGGGGAACACTCAGAACTCAACCCAGGTGCGGTACCCTGGCTCCCCAGGCCCAGCCTCCTGCCTCCTAAATGGGCGCAACTCGGGCATCCACCAGTAGGTGGCGCAAGGGCCTGTGACCGGCTCTGAGAGAAGCCGCAGGCCAAAGCCCTCCCCTGGTGGTGGCTCCCCTTTATTAGAAGCTAAACCCACTCCCCCAAGATCCCTGTCTCAGCCAGAGGCCGACACCACCACTGGGTTTAGGCTGTCAAATCAAAACCCCTCTGTGATCTCTTTTTAAAGAAAGAAAGAAATCGAATGAGGTCACAAGCAAGGGCCCGCTCTCCAGCTCTTTCCCTAGTCAGCCCGGCTTCCCGGCTTCCCGCAGCTCCGCGGCTCCTGCGCCCCTTCCTGGCCCACCTGAGCAGGGGAAGCAAAGCCAGGCTGCTCTCTGCACATACCTGTGCCCAGTGCCAGAGAGACCCCCATGCCTGGGGGCCAGGGCTGTCGTTAGGAGAGCAGCCTTGGTCCTGCCCAGGTGGACACAGCTCCCTGCCATGGCCATGCAGACAGGGCTCTGCCCTCCCAGAGGCTGCCCAGCCAGAAGGGGCCACCCAGACAAGACCCCAAAGACCGGAACCATATGCCCTGAAAACACCCTCAACCTCCCTCCAGCACCAGGCCCACAGGGAGAAGTGACACAGCTTTGGGACCCAGGCATGGAGGGAGGTAGCTCATAGCACCTGACCCCGCCCCATGGCCAGAAGCTGTCCCCTCCCTGGCCCTGGTCCCAGCTACTCTGTCATCCCGGTGAGAGCCCACACAGCTCCACCAAATGGGGGCTTCTCACAGAGCTCAGGGTGGGGGCAAGGGGTGCAGAAAGCAGGCCCCCACTCCATGGCCACTTCCCACCCACTGTGGCCAAAGAGCAGCTTCAAGAGAGGGGAGGTCAGCTCACGGGATCGCCCTCATCCTTACCAAGCCCCCCTCCCCCTTCCCTCAACAAAGGGCACCTCCCTGGACAAGCAGCCCTCCCCAGTCTAGCATGAGAAAATGGAGCTGATGGGCTCAGTGCCCATCAATCAGCTATTAATAGCACCCTGAGTCCTGGCCCAGCCCTGGAACAAGCGAGGGCAGTGCCACCTCCAGCCCCAGACCTCAGCGCTGGGGACACAGGAACCCAACCCTGGGGGGCACGAAAAACAGGCTCCAGGGCTCTCAAGTCCAGTGTGGCAAAATGTTCCAGAACCTTCTGTGCAGGGCAGAAATGCGATCTCCAAGCTACCCCTTACCCTGGGCCAGATCCAGCAAGCCATCTTCCTCCCACCAAGCACATCCTCAGAGAGAGGCAGCCTGTGCTCCCCCCACACCACTCCCATCCGGACCCTCTGAGGCACACGTCCCCACACAGGGTCCTTTAGGGCTCACACCCCTCTTGCCCTGGAGGAGAGACGCCAGCCACATGCCAGGGGCTGAGGCCAGCCTAGCCTCAGAGCGGAACCCGCCCTCACCCCCGCCCCGACTCACCTCGGCAGCCTCCTTCTCAAACTTCTCAATGGTCCTCTTATCGATGCCCCCACATTTGTAGATGAGGTGGCCTGTCGTGGTGGACTTGCCTGAGTCCACGTGGCCGATGACCACGATGTTGATGTGGGTCTTCTCCTTGCCCATGGTGTTCGGGGGTGGGAAGGGCCGTGCGACCTGGGGGGCTCTGGCTCGGGCAGGAGATGCTGAGCAGTGGCTCTGTGGGGTGATGGTGGGGGGACAGGGGGCAGAACCTTAGAAAGAAACCCAGCAAAGATGCAGCCCTGCACAGGCAGCAGCACATCTGGCCACAGACCCAGCCCCCAGGCCAGGCCATCCCCACGCTCCGTGGGAAGGTGAGACCCAGCCGTGCCTGACCCAGCTGAGCAAGGTGGCAATCCAAACAGCCCCCATGAACATATCAAGGCCCACAGAGCCCCCAAGAAAGAGTCTGACCCCCACCTGGAGACACAGAAACACACAGGGTGGACAAGCCCCATGACCAGTCAGGAGCCCGGGGATGTCACCTTGCCAGCTCTCCAGTGCCCTTTCCCCATGCTGTTCTCTCACCCCAGTTCTGGGCAGGACACTGTCCCCCACCCCCACCCCACCCCCACCCGCAGAGCCGCGCAGGAGGAAGGCCAGTGCTCCCCATTCTCAGGCAGGGACAGGGACACGCCATCTTCCTCTCCCTGCCTGGCTGGCACCAGAGACTCGCTGGCCTCAAGCTCCAACAGGACGCAGGTGCCCAGATCAGGGGCCCAGAATAGCCCAGCCCTCCCCCTCTGGGCAGGGGGCAGACAGTGGGGGGGGGGGGGGTCTCTGCTCTGTCCACAGGAGGAAGAATCTGGCCCCTCAGCCTGGTAGGGACCAAGGTTGGGGGGCACCCTTTCCCTCTTCCTTGTGGTCAGGGCCCAGGGCCAAGCCCCTGCCCCATCCTGAAGGCCATGAAGAACCCTAGGCTGCCCAAGAGGGGCCAGGCGGCTGGGAGGGAGGGCGGGCACTGGGGTGTGGACCCCAAGTGGACCCCAAAGGGGTGAGGGGAGGGGCTGCTGACCAGGTCCCCGGGTCTCTCCGCCTCCCCCTCCCCCATTCCGTCGCCCCGACACCCCCACAAGCCCCAGTACTGACTCCCCTGCCCCAAACCTGCAGACA